TACATGTACATTTTACATGAAACCACAGCAATAAAGCTCACAGCCACACATACAAGTTCATCATTATTAATACAATCAAGCAGGAAATCAGTAATAAATTTATGAAAAGCTTCAATACACTTAAAACTACCTCAGCACACTAAATTGGAAGTATATGGTTCTCTAAATGATATAGCATATGTTAAATATTTGTAAATGTAGATCGTCCAGGTTGGTATAGTCCTGAGAAGGAATGTTTTTGTTGTTGTTGACTGACGTTTCGCCAACCTTGGCGGTAGTCATCTTCAGAGTCATATGTTAACATCAACACATTTTGATTTTCTCTACATAAGGGAGGGGGTAGGTTTAGGGTTAGGGTTAGGGCTAACACTCCTCCTGCCGTTAGCAATCTAGCTATGGCCCTGCTAACCTAGATACACTATATTAAATAGTTTTGACTTCATTATGGGTTGGTTTCTTGAACTAAGAATTCTGAAAATCCAAACTATAAGAAGCATTTTGACCGACAAGTTTCCAGACCTCCTAGAATGAGCGCACCTAAAAAATATTACATAAATTTCTTAAGCCAATGATATTGTAGCTTTATAAACTTATTCCAAGAAATGACAAGTATGGGTAGTGTCCAATTAGTCATTAGGCTATGTAGGCTGAAGCTAACAGGCCCGCATTTTAAAGAATGCTGTTCTATTTAAACATAGTTTTTACTCTGCCATTCTGGATGAGCTAAATGCTCAAAAGTTCAATCATATATGCTTTGTTAGACTTCCCCGTATTTTTTAAACCATTGAAAAAACATTTGAAATAAAAACATCCGAAATCATTGCTAAATGGTGAAACAGACTACAATGTTGAGTTTGCAAAGATCGTGTAATTAATTCTTGCGTACCAGTTTTATTAAAGAGAGAAATAAAATAATAAGCAGATGGCTGGTTGGTCACTCTAAGACACTTACGGTCATAATGTTAATTTAGAGAAGCTATATACAGCAATATATCTCCTTTATCTAAGTCTCGTATTTTCTCTATGATGATTAAAAAGATACTGCTTAAAGGATTTTTACCAAGGAAAACCTTTAACTGTTATCCTCTACCCTCCAATGAGCTAACCGATTTTCAGAAAGCTGTAAAAGTCACTTAAGTTTTTCCTCTTTCGATAAACGTAGATCGTATGTCACTTTTTTGTAGAACTTAACATTTTCGTGAACTTTGCAAATGAGGATAAAGATGCATCTAAGATAATCCATGACGCAAGGAGCATTCTGTTTAAACTTTTAAAATAAAAAAATTCAAACTTTTACATGCAGAGCTACAAACATCTGCATGTTCACTCTCAGTGTAAAAGATATTGAAAAGTAATATAGTTAATAAAGATTGTCAATTATTTGCATCTAAAGATGAAATGTTAATGGCTTAAAAACAAAAAATTGTCTTTTCGCCAAAAATAGTTTAACATATTCAGCTAATATTGATGTGGTACCAAATTTGGCCAATCTGAAAAATGCTAGTGTATCTTGTTTCATAATTAAAGATGTCAACGCAATAAAGAACTTAAAGTGGTCACAATACTACAAAAAATTATCGAGAGTTATGTTTGGTACTAGTCTTTAGAGTAAATGTGTCAAAAATGAAACCTTAGATGAAGCTTCCACAAACTTTTATAAAGTTAAAAGACCTGCCTTTAAGCAATAATTAAATGCCATACTTTCTTGGCCATTCCTATTTACATAACTTCTTTGTCGGTCACTACCTACTGCTGAGCACATTAGGTCACAAAACATGAATATTCACGCATATATAAAAACATAATCCTTTTGTCGGCGGAAGACGGGATTGTTTAGTTTAATTAAAGCAGCCTCCATAATGCGTAACTGAAAGAATCAACGGCATTTCCTAATGATTTTAAAATTGTCCTTTGAATAAGAATCAGCACAATGGGAATTATTCAAGTGATGTTTACCTATCGCGGAGTCACATGAAACTAAATTACTTTTCTTACAATCACGTTCTGTTTGTTGTCTTGAGGGGACCGTTCCATTTCTGATTGAAGTTGGTACATGCTGTTTAATCCTATCACCCAACCTTTGAGTCACTCTACCTAAATATGGAGCATCACACTCACATTTATATTCATAAATTTCATTGCCTAAAAGTTGTGTCGGTAGAGACTTTTTTGGGGTGGGTGATAGAATACCTCTTTTCGAAAATATAAAGATAACATTGATCGCCAAAAACAAATTATTCATAACATTCTTAGTTTTCCTTTCAATATCATCAGAAGCCTTATCCATCCATGGAAGTTTGATCAACACAGGGCACTTAGCCTCTCCAAAATGCCTGTTCTGCTCATTTTTTGTGGATGAGAAAAGTTTATGAAGCATTTATTCCGGATATCCATTTGAGAGAAACATCTTTTTCAATGAGTTGAGATCAATCTCAATGAAATCCTCCGATGACAGTCTAAGTGTTCAATTTATTAAACACTTCACTTAAGAAATTTTTTCTCTGTGTGAAGAAAAACAGTCAAAGCGTGTGTACAAACCCGAAAAAGTTGCCTTGCGATTAATGCTTGGGAGGAATTGACCATTGCGTTTATGGACAAGAACATCCAAGAACGCTAACTGACAATTTGATTCATGTTCAAGCATTTTGGACCAGCTATGTGCCCTGTGTTTATCAAACTTCCATGGATGGGTAAGGCTTCTGATGATATTGAAAGGAAAACTAAAAATATTATTGATAATTTTTTTTTTGCGAGCAATGTTATCTTTATATTTTTGAAAAGAACTATTCTACCACCCACCCAAAAAAATCTCTAAAAAACTTTTAAGCAATGTAATTTATGAATATAAATGTGAGTGTGATGCTAGAATTTTTTTTATCAATTTTTTTTAATATTTTAAATCATTAATTTCACCCAAGAAGATTTTACAATTGGTCGGCTTTTAAAACATGGTCAAAATTTACCAGTTTCTTGCAGTTACTTACGTGTACAAGATTTCTCCTTTGTTTCTCGATTTCTTGAAACAGTAAAATTTTTTAGATATTTGCTACCTTTTGGCCTTCCCTGATAAGTTTTCACTTTACAATGAAAACATGACGAGAACATTGTGTAGACGTCACTTCCTGTTGAATATTACTTCCGCTTATAATGTATATATATAGAGGACATTTAGATAAGAAGGCACTTAATAAAAACTCTACATGGTGGCAGCGATGAGATTCTGTCTAAAATGGTAAAGACCAGTGGACAAGAGACGTGGAGATAAATAAGAAATGGCATTTCAAACACAAATTCCATTGCCAGAAAAATTAGAATCGAAAAAGCCCGAAGACTGGAAGCGATGGATTGAACGATTCGAATGTTATCGCATCGCAGCTGGCTTAGACGAAAAGGATGATAAAGTACAAATCAATACTTTGGTATATGCTATGGGAGGCAATACCAATGATCTTTTAAAAAGCTTTCAAATAAGCGAAAGAGATATGGTGTACGGAAATGTTGTAGAACAATTTGCATCGCACTTTGTTGGTCGATCGAACACAATTTTCGAGCGTTCTCGGTTCAATAAACGAATACAGGGTGAAAAAGAATCAGTCATCGACTTTGTGGAAGATTTGTACAAACTGGCGGAAACTTGCCAATTTGGAACACTGAAAGACGAGCTGATACGAGACAGAATTGTCGTCGGTATACAAAATGCAAACCTTTCACAAAGGCTAATGCAAGATGATAAATTAACATTGGAGAAAGCTATTAGGGAGGTGAAATCATCGCAGCTTGTCAAGCACCATCACGATATTCTAAAAGGAGACAGCGAAAATGGGCTGATTGGTCGCGTAAGAACAAATCAACGAAAAGGTAATGATACGACACAAAAATCGAAGTTAAAATGGAATCAGAATAGGAGTCCCGATCAACATTCGAGAAAGAAAAACCGTCAATGTTCTCGATGCGGAAGATCAACAATTCACAAAAGAGAGGATTGTCCAGCGAACAATAAAACTTGTTTAAAGTGTAATAAACAAGGGCATTTTACAGCGGTATGCAGAAGTAACTCAAGCGCAAAAATTCAATCAGTTGATGACAAAAGCACGGATTCCCCAGGAGATTTTTTTCTTGGGACAATTAGCGATATAGAAAATGAGCGAAAATGGGCAATCGATTTATTATTAGGAAAGTCTACAGTGAAATTTAAAATTGATACGGGCGCTGATGTGACGGTGATTCCAGAACCGGTGTTTATGCAAACAGGCATAACTCGGATGCAATCAACTAATAAAGAATTGTTCGGGCCAAATCAAGCAAAGCTGTCAGTAAAGGGAAAAATTCGAGCAACATTGAGAACTGCTACTTCAAAAACAACAGAGCAAGATATTTATATTGTGAAAAATTTGAAAGATCCATTGTTGGGACGTCCAGCTATAAATGCCCTTGATCTAATAGCGACAGTCGAAGCGATTCAGTCAAATGATGCAAGTGATATGGAAGAAGAAATAAAGGCTACTTATCCAAACTTGTTTAAAGGTCTGGGTAAATTAGACGGAGAATACAACATCAAATTAAAACCTGGTGCTATCCCATTTGCGTTAACCACACCTAGAAGAATACCTTTAACAATGACAAAGAAAGTTCATGATGAATTGACGAGCATGGAAAAACTTGGCGTTATTTCAAAATATTTTTCGAAGCTAGATTGTAACTCTGGTTTCTGGCAAGAAAAACTAGAACAAAACTCTCGTTTGTTAACTACATTTATTACTCCGTTCGGAAGATTCTGTTTCAACAGAATGCCTTTCGGTATTAAATCCGCACCTGAGCATTTTCAGAAAAGAATGAAACAGCTGCTGGAGAAACAAGATGGTCAAGTAAGCATAGTTGACGACGTACTTGTTCTTGGAAAGACAAAAAATTAACACGACAGTAGACTGAAAGCTGTGCTGAAAAAATTTGATAATGCTGGAATAACACTAAATCCTGAGAAGTGTGAGTTTTCTAAGAAGATGGTAAAGTTTTCAGGTAATATAGTGAGTGAAGATGGAATTCAAGTAGATCCAGAAAAGATTGAAGCAGTACAAGGTATGGAAGTGCCACAAAATGTGAGTGATGTGCGAAGATTTTTGGGAATGGTTAATCAATTGGGAAAATTCATTCCAAATTTGTCTGAAAAAACAAAACCTATTAGAGATCTATTGAGTACAAAGAATAAATTTCAGTACAAACAATAAATTGGCAGTCAAAGCATCGTCGTATGGTATAGGAGCAGTTCTTTGGCAATTAAGAAAGGAGAAAAGAAACCAGTCGCTTATGCGTCAAGATCAATGACAACTACCGAAGAGCGATATGCTCAGATTGAAAAGGAAGCATTAGCAACAACTTGGGCTTGTAAGAAATTTAATGATTATATTTCAGGAATGGATTTTGTGATAGAAACTGATCATAAACCCTTGGTTCCTCTGCTTGGCTCGAAGATATTAGACCAACTTCCTCCAAGAATACAGAGATTCAAGACGAGGCTGATGAAATATTCGTTTACTATTCGTCACATACCAGGAAAAGAGTTGCTTGTAGCGGATGCATTGTCTCGAGCGCCTATTATGAGACAACCTACAAAATCTGATAAAAATTTATCCCAAGATTTGAACATTTATGTTGCACAGATTGTTCAAAACATACCAGCTAGTGAGAGAAGGCTAGAAGAAATTCGCTGACACCAACAAGAAGATCCGGTTTGTACGAAACTTGTGGAATTTTGTTCGGAAGGTTGGCCGGACCAAAATCGAATTACTAGTACCTTGTTACTTTATTACTTTGAAAGAGCAACAATTACAATGCAGAAAGGAATGTTAATGAAAGACTCACGCTTGATAATTCCATCATCGCTACGTTTAGATATTCTAGAAAAGATTCATGCTGGCCATCAAGGCATCCGTAAGTGTCGTGAAAGAGCAAGAGAATCTGTTTGGTGGCCTGGACTAAGTAAGCACATTGAAAACATGGTTACTGATTGTTCCATTTGTTGTAAATACAGAGAAAATCCTGCAGAGCCGTTACTAACAACGTGTTTTCCTCAACGACCGTGGCAGAAAGTTGCTACAGACTTGTTTGAACATAGCGGAAAAAATTATGTGCTTGTAGTAGATTATTATTCGAGATATTTTGAAATTGCTCCTTTGAAAAAAAGCACAACTGCAGAAGATGTTATCAATCATATGAAATCCATATTTTCTCGTCATGTTATACCAGAAACAGTTGTGTCGGATAATGGTCCACAGTATGCTGCAGCTATTTTTATTAAATTTGCTGAAGAATGGGATATTTACACATTTAACAAGTAGTCCTCGCTATCCTCAAAGTAATGGAGAAACAAAAAGTGCTGTAAAAACTGCAAAGAACTTAATCATAAAATCCGAAGATCCTTATTCAGGTTTACTTGCATACAGATCATCACCATTGCAGAACGGGTACTCACCAGCAGAATTATTAATGGGGAGGAAATTACGTTCTAATCTACCAGTAATATCCGAAAAGTTAACTCCAAAGCTTGCTGATACGGCAAAATTGAGAAGAGACGAAGAAAGTTACAAGCGACGTCAAGCAGAAAACTTTAATTGTCGTCACACAGCTTCAGTCCTTCCACACTTGAGTCCTGATGAAAAGGTTTGGGTAAAAGATATAAAATCACCAGCTGTGGTTGTGGGAAAAACCGATAAACCAAGATCATATATAGTCAGGACAGAGCAGTCTCTTTTAAGAAGAAATAGAAAACATCTTATCCCTGATCCTGAAAATCTGAGGGAAAACGGTGAGTTTAACGAAAGAAGAGAGCTGAATTTCAGTGATAAGAACGAAATGAACGAATGTTCAAGTAGTTTGGACAATGAACAGGAATCGAAGGTAATTCGAACCCGTTCAGGAAGAATTATTAAACCCCAAAATAGATTGAACTTAGAAAACTTTTGAAAGATATTTTGTATAGTTATAGGTATAAATATTTATTATTAATTAGTTATTCTTTATATTAAATAGGGAAGATGTGTAGACGTCACTTCCTGTTAAATATTACTTCCGCATATAATGTATATATATAGAGGACATTTAGATAAGAAGGCACTTAATAAAAACTCTACAAACATTTAACTTAAAACAATAAAATTGTAAATGCATACAATTAAAACGACAATATAATATGTACAGTACAGCAGTTGGTAAAGTGCCTAATCATCACGCTTTGAGTTAGGAGTGGCGTCAGATGAGTCCATGGGGATTATAGTCTCCATGTGCGGACCTTCAGTGCTCCCTCCACATCGGGAAAAAAGTGACAACTTGCTAAACAAAGAAAATGAATTGAAAACTCCCAAAGTCAGTGTTTGTTTTTTTGAGTGTCGGCAATCAACATTATTCTATCTATAAATGTCTTTACGCTTTTACAAGACTTCTTAATCCCAAAAAGAGATAGTGTTCTGATGTATTTTATGTTCTGATGCTGCAAATCGCAATGAGTAATTCTTTATTTCAAAACAAACTTTAAATTTTGCACTTGCAACGTCACTGCTAAGTAGTCTGATCGAAGCCATCAGCCTAATTGCTCGGTTCTTAGATATATTCTAAGCCTGTCACTTCTGAGCAAAATTCAAGTAGCTTTTGATGAGACTTCAACAGTTGGGGATTGTGAAGACGAGATTCGAGAATGTGTGACTGTTTTGTATCAAAAAGGTACCGGAGAAATATTTTATTAATAAGTTAGTTATGGTATCTTTAATGAATAGTAAACATAGTTGACGTTTACGTCATTCAATGACTCAACAATAAATATCCTTATTAAAGCTTGCAACGTTTAAGCCCTCGCTTGAAGAAAACCCAAGAACAGCAAGAGTATACTAAAGCATTTTATCTGTTTTTATTTTTGTTAACTATATAAAGATTCATGACTATTGTTCTTTCTTGTTTAATTTTTTATGCTCTCTTCAATCTATATTATTTACCATCCTTATATTGTTTTACCTTGAACAACTTGGATGCATGCATATCATTAGTATCCCCAGATTAAGTTAAACACTACATCTCTTCCCTTTAATGAATTACTTTGATTGTTTTTCTTTTTTTAATTTATATGACGACGTCTTCATATATTGTGTATGTTGTATCTCTACTAGTTATTCTATTCTTAATCTGCCTTTTCTTCATTTGCTTGTTTGACGTTTGTCTCTTTGCAAGCCATTGTCTGGTTATTTTTACTTTGCTAAATGTTGTCTTCATGCGTTCTTCAATCTTCTCTCTTTGATTTTGCTTTACGTCTCACTCACAAAGACGCTTCCCTTTCGTCTTTGCTTTCCCATCAACATTATAGTTGAAATGGAAACACATAGTCGTGGGCACACTGTTGTCCCATAAAGCCTGAATATACTATAGTTGTCTATTAGAACAATTATTTTTGTTGTAACATTCCATAGTTTGTTGTTTGCCATGTTTTGCATCTTTTTCAGCATAAATAAATACAAAAAAATTAATGGATATAAGAATTTCAGAAAATATGGTGCTCAGAACTAACACAAATGTCCGCTTTACTCCGTAACGCGTTGCTGTAAAATGGGGACAACACGTTCCAGATTATTGAAAAAAATATTCTTCTTAAAGAAGGAATAATCTACAATATTTGAAATGAGTTTAAGGGCATATTTTCATTTTATTCCAGTTTGAAAACTTTAAATTTTTTGCTCGAAACTCTGATAAAGCCATCCATAGCTTTCTGGTTGAAGCTTGCTTGAACAGCGGATTTTAGCGAAAATTCATTAAAAATGTTTTTAAAACTGCAGAACCTGAATCTTATGTCGTATTTAACATCAAGTATCCCTGAAATTACGTTATCAAAATGGGGTTAATCGATTGCGAAAGACATGAAATTATTGATATTTCAATGGTGAACTACTCAAAAACTGTGGGTCATTGAAAGTGGAAAGAAGTGAACTAGCACTTTCCATTACTTATTCTAATTATCATTCGTGTTATATTCTGTATCAACTAAGTCATAATTTAAGTTTTTTTAATCTTCAAAAAGGTATTTCCTTCGAGATTTCGAAGCTGAATAATCTTGTGAACGCTTTTTGTGCAAGTTAATAAGCAAAATTAGAATAACGTGAAAGAGCATTATCTTGTGAATTATTAAAATTGCCATTTCTGCAGAATCAAAATGACATATTGACTATTTGTGCAACAGTAAGGTCAGTTTCTGACGTAGTTACTTGCTATATATGATGAAAATCACTCAATTAAACTTATAGTGCTTAATGATGTATGTATCAAATGGAATTAATACGATGGTCACTTACTCAGAGGAAGCAACACAAGCTTTAGATAAAGTCATTATGCCGGGTTCAAATGAGCAACATCCTATTCCCAACAGAACCACGTACTGGCAAGGATAACGCGTTAAGTCTTTTGGGGAAAATGATAATGAGTTAGAGAGAGAAAGTGATCGTTTTTTAGATTTGATGTATTATTCTCTTAGATCTTCTGATTACAAGTATCGCAATATTTCAGATACGGACGCATATAAGGATGTGTGAACAGTGTCCGCATAGTGCTCAAGCACTTTAAATTATATAATAATATTCTTTATTACGACTTATTTATGATTTACATGTGAAAAAAGTAAGGATTTATTTGTGAGGTTAGTTTACGTATGTTAGATTATCACTTTGCTAACTTACACTAAAGTCCCTCTAGTTAGTTACTTTCATGATTTATACATAAAAATGTAGTCATATTAGCCACCTTTGTCAGAAATAGCCTAGACAAATCCCTTATTCATGAAAGTACTTCATGTTGTTATATTTTTAACAATTTACTAGAAAGTTAAATATCATATTTTCTTAGTAAGTGGAAACCAAAACTTTGGATGTGTTGATAAATTTTGCTCTTCAAACAATTTTGATCGTACGTTTACTTGTGAATTATTTTTTACCACATGAATTTGTTAGGATTATTTAGGGACTTTGTCAGATGATAAACCTCATGTTATCATTGTAGAACTAAGTGCTTTAACTGTCCAATCTTTTTTAAGTGGGTGTAGCTCCTCAACATCATCTGCTGTAACTTCAATTTTTTTATTTTATTCATAGTACAAAGAAATCATAGTCCAAAGTTATTTTAATGAAAGAATTTGTTTCCTGGCACCCTACCATCCAATTTTTATGAATTCACTGTAAACCAGTGTACACTGCTGCAAGGTTGGCAAGTGTAAAGTGGATACCAACACTACCAACAAGTTTATTGAAATGAACTAAGGCAATCACTATGGCATAATTTTAATAGCTTTTTACACACATCGGATAAAGAGTATTGTCATTGGTACGGGTCTTTGATTTTACTGTTAAATGTATTAGCTTCATTCATATATTTATTATTCCATGCATACAACCTTTGCTATTTCTTTGTTTGCTATTATAATTAAAACTAATGAACGAACAAGAATAAACCCCGCATAGTTAATCGGCCACAAAAATTAACCACTTGGTCAAATTGAAAGGTTTTACTGCAACACATTTTGGTACAATTTGGTAATATTAATTTTACAAATTTGGCGTCAGTTTAATGGCAAGCTTATTTATATTACGTCAGAAGGAAAAAAGTTTTTTTCAGTACCTTTGTAAATAGACATAATTCTCCACATTATTTTATTGCAACTATTTTTTTAAAGTTTTAAACATGAAAAATTATGTGTATTCAGTCATATTCTAAATAGAATAATTATAAAACTTGTTATTAAAGTTAAAAATTAAAAAAAGCATATAAATAAAGCTATTATAATATTAAATTTTATAACATCTATAAGCCTAAGCGGCACTGATGAAAGCCTACAACAAATCGTGTATCCCCCATCTAAACAACTTAGGACTAATTTTTTTCATTGCTAACATTAAATGTACATAAAACAAACATTTTCAAGAGAAAATTTTCACCCTTAATTCTGAAGTTTTTACTTAAAGGGTTAATTAAATACAAAGTCTTATAATGATTTCTGTAAATGTCGACACGATCAATGAATTTTTGTTACATTTAAGAATGTGTAATAGCAATTAAAAAATTAATTTGAAACCAAGTCTCACAGCTAATTATTTGCTTTTTCTTTAACTGCACATAAGATCATTTTTAAAACACCAAATGACTTACATTATTTTTTAAAACATTATAATAAATGCAAAACATCCACAAACGCTTTTTCTGCAAGCTTATCCTCAACTAAAGAAAAATTTATTAAACTCGAAACCAGTTTATTATAATGCTTATTTGACAAAAAAGTAAATTGTAATTAAGATCACAAGATATATGGTCTTTAAGAAATGAAAACCGTGTTTTTAAAGCCAAAAGTCGCTCACTTAACCTTACATAACGTAAGACTTAACGAGCATTCATAAAAGTTCAAAAATTTAGAGTTGTTCTATTCAAAAGCCTTAAACGTCATAAAACATTTTGCAAGCTTCAACGAACAAAAATCCTCTGAAAAGGTTACTCTAAATGTTCTTTAAACTACAATGGTCAATTTTTAATCCAAACCAATTCTCGTTTTCCCTTAGCTTCGATATTAATTTTTTGAACAGCTTTAAACTGCCAGGCAGTTGAATGAAACTCGCAATCATGTGACCGACGAAAAATTGCTTTTTTATGTTTTGAATGCATTTAACGTGCGAAAAAGAAAACATGTCAATTTTTTTAAATAGTGAATATGTTTTTTCCTAGCAAAAAGTTGCTCATGGCTTTACAAGAAAGGTAAAAGAAAAAGCGGAATCTACAACATTGATCCGGACAATCGAGGCAGTTTTGATGTATGGTGTGACATGAAGACATCTGGAGGTGGCTGGACCGTGTTTCAACTTCGTCTTGATGGTAGTGTTGATTTCTACAGAAGATGGCAAGATTACAAAAATGGCTTTGGAAATCTAACATCAGAGTTTTGGCTTGGATTAGATAAAATAAATAGACTTACATCTAGAAAACACAAGAAACTTTGGATTGATATGGAAGACTTTACAGGAAACACAGCATACGCCGAATATGATTTCTTTTCTGTTGCAAGTGAAAGGCAGAAATACAAGTTGGACTATGGAACATATTCAGGTACAAAATGCTGATAAGTATCGAGAAGTCGAATGACATTAAGGAGAAATAAGTTTTGTGAAATTTAAACATGACCAAGGCTTCCTAAATATATCTTTTCTCCAGACTTTAAACTTTTTTGTTGTTTTCAGTTTATCATTCAACACTTCAAGTTATTTTGCCTGTAATATTACGAAAAATTTCACTCATTTCTTAGTTGATAAGAAATTTTTGGATTAAAACAAAAGGCTGAAATTTATCTCCATACCACTTCATACGAAAGCAATATTGATAAATGTTAATCTTTTTAAAAAACCAAAGCGCTTGCAACAGTGTTACAAAAAAATTAGATTTTTAAGATTTTACAAATCAAAATACAATTTGTTACATTCACTCCCATAATAACTAGTAAATAATACTATCAGATGATTTTCTATTTGTATCAGACATTGCAAAATGCTTTGCAACTCAAAGTTTTGCATAAGAAATATACATTTTAGACTCAACTTAATCTTTATGATGACCTGAATTATTCTGTTCACACTTTTAGGAACTGCCGGTGATTCGTTGTACGACCACAAAGGAATGGCATTTTCGACAAAAGACTCTGACAATGATGAATACCATGGAAACTGTGCAAGTTCGTATAAGGGATTATGGTGGTATTTTGGATGTAGTGCTTCTAATTTAAACGGGATCTATTATCATGATCAAACCAACCCATATAGATATGGTATCTTTTGGCACAATAGGAAAAGCTATTTCCGATTCTTAAAATTCACAGCCATGAAAATACGACCTTGTTAATTTTTTCCTTAAGTAGTGCAACTGGCTTCTTATTTTTTTCTGCTTTTAAAAATTTAATGCATGTGTACAAAATAGAACTAGGATTCACGCATGAATAAATGCTCAGAACTTAATGATGTGCAAAATATATTCCGCTTGAAAGGTTTCATTTTGAATATTAACTTTATCTTCAAATTAATTATTAATAGAGTGGCATACCTTACAATCTTTGAGTGCAAGCTATTATAAAAATTATTAGTTGTTGTATGTAGTTGTTATAATTTGTAATACATTCTGTTCAACAAAATACAAATAGTTTTTTGTCAAAGTTCTTCATTTTCTTCTACTAAATTTTGCACTTGACATTTTCTGTTGTGGGGAAACAAGCATGAAAAATGCGTCACTGCGTGATGTGGACGGTAAAAAGCTTGTTTTAGTATGTTTCATGCAAATAGATCAATTTTTTTATTAAACATCATAATTTACCTGTAGTAAAAATTGCATGCAAAACATAAAAAACCTCTTCCACGAATGTATACCTGAGAGAAGCAAAGTAATATTAGTGGAGAATTATTGACTGACATTTTTATCTGATTTTTAGTTAAAGTCTTATCTGCAAGAGCGTTATTATATTCATTGATAATGTTCTTCTTATAAAATCACTAAAAAATTACTGATTTACACTAACTTATGAGCAATTTTTATTATCTTCATAACTGTTGCTGTCTAGACTCTTGTTATCTTGGTTATTCTTTATATCTTAGACATTTTCTGGACCGTTTTATAACTGTCTTGACAAGTCTTAATATATTTTTGTATTTTATATAGTGTACCAAACAAGGGTCATTTGTTAAATATTTTGTCGTTGTTTACATTTTTATTAAGATGGCTTTAAATCTACATAGTACTATGTCTTTGAAAAATGTGATGTAATAAGCTTTCCTATTGTTTTATACTAGAACGGGAGGAGAAATTATTTACTGATATATAAAATAGACAGTTATTTCAAATAATGACAACTTATCACATTAAATGGAAATGTGTTTATAATTTGGTCTTTATTTATCTTTAAGAAAAGTTTTGAAATGTTGACATTTTTATGCGAGTTATATATAAGTCTGCGAGTTTTGAATTGTTATTGGTAAATTTAATAGTTTTCGTATTTTGATATTGGTCAGTCAAAAATTGGTGCAATATTGCGCTTACTGGTTAATGAATTTACAAAGGAAGATGGAAGTACTAAAATATGGAATCCTGTCATTGAATATAATTGATGACTTGATCTTTGTACACAACCCTCTATTTGCTTTACTTTTACTGTCTAGACAGGCTATACAGGTCACATGACCAGGAGTACAAGGACAGTTCGTGGAAGAAATATGGCAAATGGTTTGGTATGATTATATGTTACAGTTTAATACGCGCCTTGTAGATTTTGTTACTCTAAATTTACTTTTATATTATTGTTCCTTGAAGTCAGCATTACAATAATTATATATTCACACATCAGAGGAAATTACATTTTGTAACGATATAAAGAAAATCTTAACGTACTATTTAAAATTCCCATTTTGACTTTATTATCGCTTGATTTGAGACAGGTCAAAGTTTTAATAATTTCACGAGTTGTTTCTAGTTAGAGCAATAAGTACATGTTTGGCAAAGTGAAAAAAAATTGCTTTTTCATACATTCATCCCACCTCAAAATTGAGCTTAGAACCTTTAGTTTGACAGAATTCAATGTAAAACCACGAAATTGTTTTGCCAAAACCGAAGGCGGCTCTATTTTAGGCTCAACACAAGTAGACTAATCGAAACAAGTAATTTTGAGCCTCTGCACAAAGTGGGTTTACGCATGGTGAGAAAATCTTTACGAGAGACTCTATATATCTTTTTGATTAAATGTTTCTCATTTTATAACAATCAGAAATAACCAGCTGCTTTGCTCCAATAATAATTGCAAGACAAAATAGCATAATGCGATGTCCGAAATTTAGTGCTTTTAATGAGATTTCATGCTGTTATTTGAAAGTAAAGCAATTGAGCAAAGTTTTTTTCCTCGCAAGACAGCCTTTACTAATATACAATACCAAACACTGCATTGCACAATGGAATAATTTAAATACACTTTTTTGTATACATACTCTATTAAAATTGAACAGTTAGACAAACATCATTAAATTCCTCACAGCGCAAAATATACAAAACTAAGGAAAAGTGTTCCTGTTTTTGCAATTTTTTGTTCTTCTACTTTTTTGCAGTATAACATAGTGGTTGGTAGTAAAACACGACTTCACGTGGCTACCTACAAAACCGTTGAAATTTTAGCGTATAAGTAATGTGCAAAATGAACATTAAAACGATACTATTTTGCTTCCGGTACAATAAAAAGTTTAAATTTTTAGTAATATTTCTGCATCCAATAACCACATCAGTTAACGGCAAGTTTGTAAAATTACAAAAACTTTGGGAGAGGACTAAAGTTTTTTAGCAAATACAACAACAAATAATAGCGTATATATGTGTTTTTCAAAATCCGGAGGGGAGAAAAAATTTTCTTTTGGTAAGCCCGCGTCTTTCCGCTGACGTTCACAGCCAATTGCTACTCAACAGTGAAGTGACGTCTTTTGCTGAAACTGCTGCTCGATTGCAGGCACGCTCAAATGAGTAAATTACTGATAAAACGAGCAAATTTCGTATTTCTTTGCTAAATATCTTGGCTTCTACTTGTTATTAAGTTTCCTGACTCTGAGCAAGTCTTCTTTCTCAATACATCATATTTTTTCATTCGAGCGCCACAGGTTTTAAGGGCTTTGCCGTTTCAGGCATGACACCTATGTAAGCTAGCTCGCTTGGTGTTGTATTTCTAATTAAGAGTAAGTAAAGGACTCAAAAACTACAGAGCCTGCAGGACATATTGCTGTTACTATATGGTTAGTCTGACCCCATCTGTGTACATTACCGCCTGTATTCCAAAAGTTGACTCATACTCACTTAGTTTTCTTTTTGGATGCGCAATTTCTCTGTTACACTTATTGAGTTCATTAAGACCTGAAGGGAATAAGAGGCCTGGTCCCGGTTGTCAAAAACATAGTGGTAATGGCGGATTTTAGTTAAAAAAAACTTCAACTTTGAGAAATATTCGCTCCTATCTTAATCTGAATTTCTATTACTGCGTATAACAACGACAACCTTTTTTGAATAGATTGTTAAATCTTGGTTAAAATGTCCAAAACAGAAGTGATAAGTTTGCATGTCCCAACGATTTTAGTGAACTGGAAATATGTCATTATTAAGTAGAAACATATATATTTTTTCGAGTTACTTTTGGTGTGATTGATTCTGGGTGTCTTATAAGTTATAACGAAAATATATTTTAATAAATGTACTGAGAACTTATAAGGGAAATATCTTTAACTACAAGAGCAAAAAAAAAATCAAAACGCTATGATCATTTGGCTGGTTGAAACTTTCTGATTACAGGCAAAATATTAGAAACTGAGTTGATTGTGAATTATTTGGTTTAATCTTGGATCTACTACTGAACAGAACTACAATACTTTCCCACTGTAAATATTATATATGTCAAGGAAGAATGTATTATTTTCTAAAAATGCAAAATCCTTGCACTACTCTTCCCTTGTGCATTTATAAATTACAGCTCCCCACACTAATTTTTTCTAGTTTCAAACAAAATTGAGACAGATTTGGGTTCTGCATCATGCCTTTGAATTTTTCCTTTGTTTCTTAGTAAAAATATGAGTGAAAGACTTCCAAATCAAGTTTATCTAAAATAGTACTTTCTTTATACAAGAAACTAAACGTAAGTAGAAAGTTCCTTGTTAAAGTCAGACGTTGCTTCTTTTACCAGATTGTTTATCCTTATACTTTTAAATTTATACTATTTCTTTATAAGATACAAAAAAGTTCTTTACCATCTATAGTTGCTTCTACACACAACTTCATTGCAACCAGTGCATCCTATGTGAATTTTGGATCATCTGGAATTGAACAAGAATGGAATTTGTCAGATGAGGGAGAGTTCATATTTCATGCATATTATCTTAAGTTTTTCCTGATAAAAATTTCAAGGTATAGGAGCAAATCTTAGCATAGTATTGCTCAAAGTAGTTTTGATGGGTTAAGATTTTTACTATATAACAATAATATTAATTGTTCATTTAGAGAAAAAGTAGATAGCTTTTATAAAACTGTTGGCTAAAGCAAACATTGAAACACCATCGTCGTGATTGTTCATAATCTGTCAAGTTATGCAGGCTAGTTGTTTAATAAAGGTATTTATTTTTATTTCACGACATGTTATAAAGAGTTATTAATTAATGTTGCACTGCATTTCAACTCTGCTCTATTTCCATTTTCCTTCATATTTGTAGAAAAAATTATGAAAAATCTTCCATTTCTTGGAGGTGAACTCAATTTAAACCAGGAGTTTTGAGATATGTAAATCTTGATAAGAATGGTTGCTTTCCCCTTATCTAGCAAGTGATTGAGTAAAGAACAAATAGGACTAGATAAACATAACCTACATTACAACTTAGTAGTTAAAACATTCTAAAAATATATACCATCACACCTCAAATATTGACTTAAAAAGAAAATACGAACACTTAAAATGATAAGCAATACTAAGTTGCTTACCAATGTCATGAAATGTTTCTTTTTCTGGCAGTACTTACGCCTCCGCATAACACCCAAGTTTGCATAATGTTTTATACATAAAATTATAAAAAAATGTTCGTGCTTGGAAGAATAGCATTGGCATTTTATAAAATCTCATTCGTGGTTATCAAATGCGGGTGGGCAAAATATATTTCGTGATCCCGCGTCTTTCCGCTGACTTAGACAATCAAATTCTGCCATATTTTTGACCATAGGACGCGCGCTAATAATTTATAATAATTTGGTTGACATTTTGTTTTTACCTGA